GGGGGGGAGGAAGAGAGAGAGAGAAAGAGAGAGAGAGAGAGAGAGAGAGAGAGAGAGAGAGAGAGAGAGAGAGAGAAAGATAGTGACAAGCACAGCTAGAGGGAAGAAGAGGGAGGAAGAGGGAGAGGAGAGAAACAGGCAAAAGATAGGGAGAGGGAGAGGGAGAGGGAGAGGGAGAGGGAGAGGGAGAGGGAGAGAATATACACCCCAAGATAAAAAATTGCATTTGTTTGCAATGGCTGAACCTGCATCCCTATAATTTTATATAATATGATCTGCACATACATACATGCACAGAGAATTTATTCTGTTAGTAGTAAAGTAAAAATGGCAACTAAAACTTAAGAATAAACGCAGACAACTTTTGCCTTGCCATTAAGAATTATATAGACAAGAGAGATACGGAAATAACCGTCACAGACACAACACACAACATTCAATAGTGATATATGTATATAAACACACGAACACACACACGCATGTACACACCCATGCACACGCACACGCATATCACCAATTAACGTAACACCACAGCTATGCGGTAAACAAAATGAGTTTGTTTTGGGATTGTATGGCATTATTTGTTTTGTGGCACTACATTAAACAAAACACGACAAACACTCATAAAACCACGCCATGCTAAAGACATGAACTACGACACTATGCCTACATAGTCATAGTCTAAGTCATAGTCTTAGTCATGTCTATTAGTCTTGCAAAAATCGGAATGAGTATTCCAGTACATCAAGACATGAATGAATATTTCAACAGACAGCCATAGTGCTGACATGTGCAGTTAAAAGAACTGGTGACTGTGGTTCATGGTAAATGGTTCTTCCACCTACGGCAAGAAAATTCACAGTTAAGCGGTTATGGCTGCCATGCACAATGGTAGGCACAGTGTTACTGTTACCAGTAAGACTACAGGATGATAGAGGCCCCGACTAGGCCTTGGATTGAACCCACTATATACACACGTGTGTATCTGTTTAACTGCGCACACACATCACATCAGGGGTTCATAACGACAGGCTGTCATTACTAAACCCTGATTACATGCGGACAATACACAGGTATATATATTTAGGTGTACACACCCTGCAGCTTGAGGAGATCTGAGCGCTTCTCATCAATATCTGGTCTCTCAGCTTTGAGCACCTGGTTCAGACACTGGCTCTGTAGGCTGCTGCGCGTCACCGTGAAGTTGACAAATGTCACACGCGAGCAAATGTCTGGTGGAAACTCCACCTGGTGAGAGAAAAGTGAATGAATGACTGTTAATGCAACTAGCAGCGGAACGAGTCTAGCAGTGCATCTCAGGGTAAGGAGCTTTTGGGAAGCCACAGTAGTTTTCATTATGTCTTTAAATCGAAAGATTTGTGTCACAACAACATGTATTAACTAAAGTTTGTTTGCGTGCGAATGAGAATGATCAAATGAGCTGTATTTCACCGTTATCCATTAAATTTTTTTTATGGGAATGGGTAATGGGGAATGAGAATTTTTATGGGAATGAGTAATGGCAGACCCAATGACACCTAAAGATAGTATTATCTGCCTAGTCACCCATCGAGCGCGGCAGAGCACCTACCGTTGGATCTCTCGTCGAGAGGAAGATGGCGAACGAAGGTGACAGATCGATATCCTGATCGCCGAGAGTGATGAGCACACGTCCGCCGGTGCGCCGAAGCTCTCTGTTGAGCACAGGGTTGAGGATCGGGTCGTAGTTCTCGACGTCCTGCACCAGCAGTGGGTTGCCGAAGCGCAGAGCACTCTCCAGGTTCTTGCGGAACGCATCGTCGAGGAAACTTCGTATAAAAAAATGCCAAACTACGTATAAGAAAATGCGAAACTACGTATAAGAAAATGCGAAAATACGTATAAAAAAATGTAAAACTACGTTTAAGAAAATGCAAAACTACGTATAAGAAAATGCAAAACTACGTATAAGAAAATGCGAAACTACGTATAAGAAAATGCCGGTGCCATTGCAGGGACCAATCCATGTCGTCGTATGACCTGAAGTCATGATGCTCATGATTTTATGCACATGAGATGACGAATACATTCATCACACTGTCAAAAATCCTAAAATGACGGCGATCGAACGGGGAAACGATTCAACGACCCCATAACTGAAATTTTACTGATGTTTTCGTATGTACCATGTTTGATGACAGGCAGAATTTGGCAGAATTCACCACATAATATTAGTATACCATCAAATGCATGTGAATTGGCAGTAATATCCTGTAATTTGCAGTTATTGTCTTTATTATATATACAGATTGTGTGGGTCATGGGAGCTTCGTCAACGATTATAGCACGGCTGTTGTTGACTACGTTTGCTAGGTTGCTGCCTTTGTTGATAGCACACGTTGGGGTGTGCTGTGCGTGGAAATTTAGTGGTATTTTGAAAGTGGAGCGTAGAGTTCTGCCTCCTTTCAGTAATGTTGCTGCAGTACCACTGGACGCCATTGCGAGGGCAATGTATTCTACATGTTTTAGGGAACGAAGTTTTGCATGTACTAAGTTAACTAAGAGAGTTTTCCCAGTGCCTCCTCGAACATCAAGGAATACAATGTCTGGCCGTGACTGCATTATTTCTGCCTCAAGCCACAATCCTGCCAATCTCTCTGGCAATAAATGCTAAATCCAGGACATACACACAAATGAGTGTTGCCCGCTGCCCACACACATGCTCGCCTGTCTGCCTGCACGCCCGCACTTGCACCCAAATGTCATTTTCCCCGACGCCCACACACATGCCTGCCTGCCTGCACCCACAAAGGCAGCCAACCAAACCTACGCCTCCCAACGATTCCTCCTCCACTCCACCATGCATTCGCTCCTACCTGGTCTTGGTGATCTTCTTGTCTCTGTACTCATTCATGATGAACTCGGTCGCCTGACCTGACGGGTCGATGATCAGCGGGTAGCGGTTGAAGCGCTTCAGCATGATGGCGTTCTCGGTGCACAGGTCGTCGGGTGGCAGCGCATTCGCCTGCCATCTCAGACGCTCGTCTGCATTCGACAGGTACTGCAAACCGAATGTGATATGTAGTAATGTACTGTGTAATGGTACTACATTGTGTGCGCATGCACACACCGTGATTATTTATTCTAATTGTATTCATGCGCGCACGGGTGGCGGTCTCTTTAGTGAACATGGCAGCCCGCACGAAGCGTTATACGTGAATAGAGATTTGCAACGAGTATTACTACTGTTCTGCGCATGATTTACCCACCACAGCATATTACACCGGGAGGTCGGCCATGATTAATGTCGTACCATGATTAATTACGACCGGAAAGTTAACGAGTAAGCTTTCTGGATTATAAAACAGTCAAATAAATTTCCTCTGCTATTCTTATAGACATGATATCACTGATGTTTTTAGAATACAGCCAAACCTGTATATAAGAGTCATTAAAAATGGCAAGCCACATATATTGACAGGTGAACATTCTACAAATCTAGAGGTGATTTCAACGTATAACTGCTGCTCAATGGAAACATCAAGTGCCCTTCGTAACCAATCATCCATTCTATAGAGGTCACTGCCAACATGGGTTGACTGTATTCACATCGGTACTTTGCCGAGGACTTACACACCTCGACCAGAGCGAGATCACTCCTGAATTTGATGTTGGCCTGCTGCAGGTGGTTGGACCAGCTGTGCAGCAGGTGCTGGCGATAGTGCTGGTCAAAGTAGCCAGCGTAGGCGAGGAAGGCAGACGACAGCAGCACGTCGCCGGCGATCGTAGACATCTGCGCCTTGAACGTCTCGCTGCTGGCCTCCCAGCGAGACCGCTCACTGCTCAGACTCTTCAGTAGCGCCACACTGCGGTCAACCTGTACAACAACATCGGACAATCGTAGTGAGCCTCGTGAGTTCTATCTAGTGGCAATAATCTAGTTCTATTAATTAGTTATGTCTATCTAGTGGAATTAATCTAGTTCTATTAATTAGTTATGTCTATCTAGTGGCATTAATCTAGTTCTATTAATTAGTTAGTTGTATCTAGTGAATCTAGTGGCATTAACCTATAGTTCTATTAATTAGTTAGTTCCATCTAGTTGCATTAATCTAGTTCTATTAATTAGTTAGTTGTATCTAGTGAATCTAGTGGCATTAACCTAGTTCTATTAATTAGTTAGTTATATCTAGTGGCATTAGTCTAGTTCTATTAATTAGTTAGTTCTATCTAGTGGCATTAACTTAAATTAGTTCTATTAATTAATTAGTTCTATCTAGTGGCATCAACTTAGTTCTATTAATTAGTTAGTTCTATCTAGTGAATCTAGTGGCATTAAATCAATGCCGCAGATTGCTTGTGATCGTTGCACTACTGAAAGAAAGTTTTCAAGGATGGGTAAATTTAACACTTCCCATACCGATAATGAACCCGGCACATAAAAAACAGAATGTGGACACAATGGACCAAAAATACTTGAAAATGTAACCAACATGCCAAACAAACTGTCAGAGGGACCTGAGCATTACATATAACAAGTGTCAAGAATTACTCTGCGATATTGCTCGAAGCCAGTCACAACACCTGCCATGCACAGATCGTACCTTCCCCTGCACGTTGGCGAGGTCAGTCTTGATAGCCTGAGCTTGGCTGATGAGCATGGCATACTCTTCCTTGTAAGCAGCAATGCTCTTTTCTAGTTGACTGATCAGCTTGTTGACCTCTTCTCCCTTCAGCTTGTTCGTATTCGCTGTTCTCTCCAGATTTTTCAACTCTTGTCGGAGTGGGTCAACCCGATTCAGCATCTCTGCATAGTTCACCTATGCAACAGACAGTCATACATGTATGCATGTAGAATTCTTCTTCTTCTTCTTCTTCTTCTTAAAGCAACACTATATAAATACGATAAGTGTATTTCAGATATATATAACATTGTAAGTCAATTACTCTAATTGTTCATAGAATATATATTAGCTACAAACATGAACATATCAATACAGATGTGTATAGATATGTTAATGGTACAAGTAATAACCCACAAAATAGATATTTACCTGTGCAATGGCCCACTTCACTAGGGGACCACAGGCCAAACTTGCACGGTTCACATTCACAAAGTTGAAGTCAGGGTTGTCTAGATATTTCTGCTTCATCTTCAAACGAATGTCATCCCTAGAACATGACACATTAATCATCACTTGTAAGCCGAACACCTTGCTTTATGAGATATGTATGTATAATCAACACAATAGTATATATTCTCATATAGCATGCACTCAGATATACTCTAGCATACACAGAGCTAATATAACTAAGAGGTATCCACCCCTCTGATTAACTACTACTACACCCTGCACAACTACATACGTCAAGTCGTTCGTGTCAAAGTTGACGATTGTTGTGATGAAGTTGTCGCGGATGATGACCGTGCGAATTTGTTTCCAATCCGTCGCATTTTCGCCCAGTAGGAGGCACACAGACTCCAGGGCGAGCTTCACCATGGCAGGTGGATTGCCCATCGATCGCACCTCGACCAAGTGTTGCTTCTTGATTGACTTTACAGCTGTAAAGCAAGTTTACATTCCACATCAAAACGACAATGATAGCATGGTTTTTGTGTGTTCAAAACAGTGAATGCTCTGTCACTGCAGTAGGCATTCTACGCTATAGAGCAGTGGCATATAATCGCTATACAAAGCTAGCGCCAATATCTAGTTAACACTTATAATTGCATTTTTAATTCCACTGGGAATTCAAAAACCACTGCAGTTTAAAAAATATTAGAATAATAGTAGTAGATGAATAAGATGCACACACACACACACACACATACGCACGCACGCACACACGCACACATACGGTGTCTCTATGAACGTGTGTGTTGTATATACGTACACACGTGGCATCTGCATATACATGTGTAGTTTATGCATGCACACACACATGGTTTTCACATTCATGCACCGTGTGATGTGTGCGTGTACATGTGTAGTTTATGCATGCACACACACATGGTGTTCACGTTCATGCACCGTGTGATGTGTGCGTGTACATGTGTAGTTTATGCATGCACACACACATGGTGTTCACGTTCATGCACTGTGTATGTACACGTGTACATAAGCATGCAGCGTCGTCATGGTGACTCACCGGTGCGAGCGTCAACGAGAGCTGGCTCCACCTGCTCAAGGTCGTGCAGCACAAATGTCTTCTTCTCATTGATGACCTTGGTCTGCACCAGTAGAGCTTGCTGAATCTCCTGCGATGTAACCTTCTTCTTTTCGGCCTCTTGCTGGTCTTTCACCTACAGAAAGTGAAAATGCCTTAATGAGAGAAAAATATTGATAACACACGTGCTAACACTAACTTTAGTCGTTAGCTTGGTGACCTTATGTTATTTGTGATAAACTTGTTTAACAAGACTATTAATTATCATTATTCTGAATTGGCATAAAACATGACCTCATGTTATGTTTATTTATTGGTTAATTAACCTATTGACTAAACAAATTTAAATTTAATTAAATTTAAAATTGTTCTAACATTAAGGTTTTTTTTAGATTGCATCCAAGATCAGACAATCATTACATAAACTGGTGCCTTCTCTATAATGTCCAGTAGTTACAACATTTATCAGAGTATTTTTTATTCCAGACTAGCCATGCCTAACCCCCTTGGATATTTTTACTAAGTCAGACAATCACCCCAAGTATGTATGCATACATGAACATCTGCATGCCAACTTTGTAGCAGTTTATTAATAACTTAATAAGCATTGTTTTTAGAATGTGTTATCATAATGCTGATTAGCTAGACATGCTTATCGATCACACAAGAAAAAAATGTGAATCACCATACCTTTTAACCATAAATAGTCAAATAGATACAGTCAATATTCATAATAATTATCTCAAACATTCCACTGAGTGAATCATTTTCATAGCCGATGCTATATTCACACTTACCATCTGCTTTAGTTTAATATGTTATAGTTAGTTTTTTATTTTATTATCAAACCTATTAACCATGAATATGTCTCAAACATTCCACTGAGTGAATCATTTTTCATAGCCGATGCTATTCACACTTACCATCTGCTTTAGTTTGTTATTGGCTAGGTGATTCTTCGATACCAGGTCCTGCGACTTCTTGGCGAGTGACTTCTGCAGCTCCTCCACCTGGTTGACAGTCTCATGGATCTTCTGCAGACCCACCGTCAGGTGGAGCTGCTGCTCCTCCAGGTCCATGCGCTTCTCATTAAACAGTTTCATCTGCAGAAGATATAGAGGCATCCATAGCAAAGGCAACAACTTTTACTATGTACTGTTTTAATATAATTTGTAATATATTAATTATTAATTATATTATATTATATATTTTAATTATATTATATTATTATAAAATATTATGTATATAATATATGTTATGAATACAATATATTTAATATATTATTGTTTTATTTATTACACATATCATCAAGAGCGTATAAAGAAGGAGAGCGTACAGCGATAAAATGTTGAAACCATGTTGCAGTATTAGTCGAATTAATAAACTTTCCCCGTTTTATTTTGACAATTTCAAGATGGTTTTCGCCGAAAATACCAGATTTTCACCGCTCATTATCTCAGTGTAGGGGCATCGTAGGGACGTGCGGTTTGTTTTATATTAACAAGGTAGGACAGCTGGTCATTAATACTGCAAAGAATCGTCAACCGGGGAATAAAACCGGCAAAGTTTATTAATTCGACTAATACTGCAACATGCAAAAATCAAATAGTGCACACATAGCCACGCTGACACGTTAACTGGTCACACTCACATAGTGGTTGATGAAATCAAGGTAATGCCGAGGTGTAATAGCCATCGTGCGATTTCCGCGTCGTTGCAGCTTCGCATTTGCCTGGTGTAGAGTGCTGTGCACATACACGAATGCATTCACGATTGCGTCCCTGTGACTGGGGTGGTCCGGCAACCCACCATACGCCTTAGGGAAGTAGTCAGGTGCCAGGTACTGAAATGCAAGTGCCAGGTGTGTTCACACATAGTGGCTTGTGCTTCAAGGGTTTTCCTAATGGATTATTTATAATTAAATAAAGTCATACGGAAAGTTATGAGAATGTTACAATTAAGCTCAGAGTTGAGTACAGTTCGACTGGACAGCGAGCAATGAAAGCCACTCGAATCACCTCTCAGGGTTTAGTATTGAGCTACAGTATAGTGATAGGATATAATATCAATGGCACCCTACGTTAGGAGTTTCAAGGTCGAGCTTGTTAGTAAACTCCTTTCCAACTTGATAGAGGGCACCATTGCTCCAATCTCCAAACCAGTTCAACACACATCTGTCAAATGAAACACAGTGTACAGTTACCACAGCAGAGAGCACTATACTCCTCAGATAGCACTATACTCCTGCCCTGCTGTCTATACTAACATACTAACATACTAACACGTGTGACTCCACAGTTGTTATAGGATGATTTCATTAATACTTCAAACACAAGCAAACACAAACTATGCTCGAGAATTAACAGAGCTTCAACAAATGCTTGCGGAACTCGCAATTAAAGATCGATTCAACAGAACATTTCTTGACCTTGACACTCAGTTACCTACAGATAACCCGAGAAAAACCAAGAGCTCCTAATGTGAGCAGTACTGCCTCCCCGAGGGCAGCTGTCGCATTACCCGGGGGGTCGCATGAGACATAGTTAGTTGTATGTAGGGTAGGGTATGGTGCACTGGGGATAAGTTTACAGAATGGATGGGGTAGCGCCAGAAAAGGTTTAGGAACCATTAAGGCTCAAACTCAGTAAAGAGAGCATTTAGCAGCTTCAATAGTTCTCACTATGCTCCTATACCAGAGCGCTGTAGACCTGGAGACCTTGGGGCTTTGGCCAGGGCCTGTGGGCTGCAGTGGCTAGGACAAGTGTAGTGTAGTGACTCGAGAAGAAGAAGAAGAAGGAGAAGGAGAAGGAGAAGGAGGAGCAGGAGGAGGAGGAGAAGAAGAAGAAGAAGAAGAAGGAGAAGAAGAAGAAGGAGAAGAAGAAGAAGAAGAAGAAGAAGAATAAGAAGAAGAACTACGCACCTGTTGAACAGTGCGGGAGATGTGGCCGCGCGATCCTTCAAGCCCTCCGTTGATGGGTTCATCGTGAAGACGACATGTAGGTTGTGGATGACCTGACCTATGAACCACTTGTACAGTTCCTCACTGCTGTCTAGCATCAGACCCTCCCTCTGACTGCCTTCCTTGCACTGAGTCATCAGTGTGGTATACTCATCACCCTCAAACAAGCCCGGTACCTGCAATTACAAGCGTGGTAATATGCACCCATGAACGATCCTGTATTCTAAAGCATAGGAGGCATACAGGTCAACACAGAAGGAAGTATCCAAAAAGGTAAAAGTACTGGAAAATTTTTAATGGAAATTCTGTTAGGACAGTCTGTCCTCGCTTGAAATTGCTCAAGACTTTTTTCAACATTTCTCAATTTAACATTTGTAGTTTTTAGCTATCCGCGATTCCAACAAAATTATTTCACTACCTGACCTATTCGTTAAATGTCGTTGTCACCCAATATGGTGTTTACTAGGCGTGGGAAAATATCCACTGAGATATTGATGTATCGTAATACAAACCTTTACCATACATGATTGTATTGATACATTTGACCATTAATAATACATGACGTATGGCTGTATCAATACGTGGTAAGAGAACTGGGTGAACGAGACTTTAACTAGACAAAGACTTAAGCTGCGTTTACACTATAGTCTTGCGTTTACGCTACACTTTGTCAGCAAATCGTCCCGATTTCAAGTGCATCTTGATTGGTGCAAGAAATTTGATTGTGTTGGAGTCGGAGTCGGAGTCAAGTTGCCGAGTTGGAGAAATAGAACGTGTTCTATTTTGCACGACTCGAACAATTTGCTGACAAAAATCGATAGTGTAAACGCAGATTTAGACATTCATGAATGTATAAAATTGCAAAATAGCTGTATCTGGCTTATGTGTCAAACTGCACAGCGTAAGGTACAGCTGAGAATAGGTGACACCAGCGGTGATATCCGAGAGCATTTAGCACCCAGCATGACATGATCAGTACAAGCAGGTGACTCTAGCCTCGATTTAGGCATAATACGTACGGTTTGAAAACGCACGCCAACAAGTCTACGAAGAACCCACAAAACTCATACAATTTCTTATTTTTACCATATATATAGATATCAAGACAACAAAAACAGTATCTGTGGTGTCACATGCCTTTGAAAGCCAATTATCTTACTTTAAATGGGAGCACACTTATTCCTGTACGGCACGTTAATATTAGCTTGTAGCTTAATTATAAACCGTAAAATAAATATATTTACGCAGGGCATAAGGTCGGTGAGTTAGTTTTTACGGCAGCGCCATCTTGTGACAAACTTAATAGAATCAAGTTCTTGCACCCATTCTGGTATGGTGCCAGGAAAAGGTTTCACTACACTGCTTAAAGGCGGAGTTTACTCTAGGTTCTAGGGTTATTTTCAGCTAATTTAGGTTATAATTACGCTACATAAAAAGTTTTATGGTTCAATCACCATTAGAAATATTATTAAAAAATGTTTTGAAACTAACGACTACAGTTTGATTACAACGACGATGGCGCCACTCAAAGCGCACGATCTGATAAGTTGCGCAAAACCACTTTCCAGCCAAGGGCTACAGACCGAGGGTGTTTCTTATTTATTCATTTAAAAGCAAAAAGATTGTAATATCTTATAAACGACATATAGTTTCAGTTATAATATGGATAAATTTGCCCTAAAATGAATATCGTTCAGTTAAATAGCATTTAGGTATAAATATAATTGCACTTTTGTGATTAGCCCTCGGTCTGTAACGTGCAAAATAAATGGTCAAATACGCAACTTTTTCAAGGTGGCAGCACGGTCGCGGGTCTCATGGCGCCGTTCAAATTTCGTAGCGTTGATGTGTAAATAATTATAACAATTAAATTAGGTATCTGGTAACAAATACGTATGGGTATAGACGATTTGTTATCCAGTAAGTACAGTTGTAGGCAGTAAAATGCTAGAGGCTACTGTCCCTTTAAGGATATAAACACAGTGTTACTCCCCTGTAAAATCAATTAATAAAAATATTCACTACGCAAATACTCCTCCATCCTTGCATCAGCCCTTCATGTGTAAATTCTGTCTCTACACATCCCATGCCCTCCTGACTTTCCCCATATCCTCACCTCTCCATTGAGTAATCAGTAACACAAATGTTCTTTCTCACGTAAGTCTAATACATTCCTACATCAAGCTCCACTCTATAGCTTACTAAGCTACTAAGCCTACCCCCCCCCCCCCCCCGAAGCCTTTATTCAGACCTTCCTTTCCTCCCGACCTCACCTCTCCATTAGCCAGCAGGGTGTTCATTCTCTCGAGGAAGCTGGAATCGAGTACGTTCGACTCGTCCATGATGAAGGCAATCTTCTCGTCCCTGCACCCTGCACGCCGCAGCACTGTACGCAGGTCCTCATCAAAGTCCATTGCAGTGTACTTGTTATGCACCTGACAAGTGGAAAACACCGTTAACGCCTTCCTCGCACAAACTCTCTCCTTAAACATCACAACACGTGCTCTCTTATGGTCTTATGAGAATTTTCACAACCTAATTTCACATTGCGGCTGTGCATGCTTTGTAGAAACCCAAGTCATAGCTAGCTTTCGTCTACTATACATCTGATACATTGTAATTATATAAGCTGTTAACTGTTTACTTTGGAAAACTTGTGAATCTTGACTTTCACTAAAATTTAAACGTTTGTCATGGGGACACTGTGTCATAGTTAGATATCGTAATTAAGAAACCTTACAAGAGGATAATAGTGGTTTGCTTCTATTGGGTATTGGTGTCGGTTTTGTTAGAGTGCTTAATTAATAAGATGTACTTGAACTACATTGAATAAACTAGAAAGGGCAGTTGTCGCCAACTACATGTATTCCCCGTGTTCTCCCCAAGATGTGTAAGTCAAGGTCAAGGTCAAGGTCAAATAAAGGTTGCAGTGACCTGGTTTCGGTACGCGACACACCTTCTCCCCAAGATGTGTAAGTATACCAAGTTTGGTCGCGCTAGGTCAATTAGGGGCCGAGTTATAGAGCGGAAGAGAAATATGATAAGGTCCAATAAAAGCCGCAGTGACCTGGTTTTGGTATGCAACACACATTCTTCTCAAGATGTGTAAGTATAGCAAGTTTGGTAGCGTTAGGTCAATTATTAGCCGACTTCGTCGCGGGGGATACAATAACTGTATCCCTCGTTTGTCTCAGTTTGCACACTAGGCAGTCAGCATATACGTAAGACTATAGGTTAGACTAGTGCTTCTTAAACTGGTGAATGGTTCACCCAAGGAAGAATGAAACTTACCAAAAACATATGGAAATATAGTCGCGGGTGAATGAAAATTTTGTGGTAAATACTCGAGGGTGAATACCATTGAAATAGTTTAAGAAGCACTGGGTTAGACTATATATTCTCATTCACCTTGATCTGGTAGACATGTATGCCATTGAGCCAGGCAACAAAACGCGACAGGGTCGTCTTGCCTGCTCCACTCGTGCCGATCAGCAGCAGATGGCCCTGTGGCTGCCTGAAGATCCTGTCTATGCGAAGCACATGGTACAGAACCTCGTTGAACAACACCAATGGAACATCCAACTCCTCCTCATAGAACACCTACAATGTACAGAAGAACATCAACAGGGTACAGGTAAGATAATACTACTGTTTGATGGCATTCCTGGCTAAACTAATTCGTATGTGAATGTATTTTGCGTTTGTATCCGTCTCTGTAGAGTGCCACCAGAAAAGAGAAAAGAGTATAGAAAGTAGTATATAGAAAAGAGTATAGAAGTGTAGAGAAAAGGTGTTACCAGTGGTGATATCTGAGAGTATTTAGCACCCAGCAAGACAAGACCACAACAAGCAGAGGAAAATTATACGTAGGAAAAGTGCTGTGCCATACCTGGATTAGAGCTCAATTCTAGTCTCATGTTGAGCGAAATTATCACACCTCACAACAGCTAACTAGTACACAATTTAAGACTACAGTCTGGCAACTCACCTTTAGTCTCGCCTTAACATAGTCCCTCAGTTCTTCCAGGTCTACTGGTACATAGTCCTTTGACAGCCAGTTGCTGTATAGGATTGGCCGGCCAAGGGCAGCTTCCCGGTTGATGCCAGGGAAGTGCTTCAGTCCTACCATGTTTATGTTCTCATCTGTCCATTGTCTCTCCTCGTCCTCTACCAGCCTACAACACACATGTATGCACCTATTACACCCTCCTACAGACTTTAGCATCATGAGATCATTCATTCATGAGAGAATTTTCCATTATAAAACAACTAGCATTTAACAGAATCCCATTGCTGGCCACACTGCTACAATCATTCCAAAACGAGCAGTTATGAGACTGCCTGGCCTGCTTCACATTACACAGGAACATACCTTTGGTGTTCTATGTGAGAAAGGTAATAAAGATCAGACAATGGAGCAGGTGTGTGTGCACAGACCACACCCATGCACCCTTGTACGCACGCACACAGCCAGACACACACACACGCACGCACGCACGCACGCACGCACGCACGCACGCACGCACGCA